GCAGCCGTGCGTGCAGGACGAGCACGGGGCACCGTGGCCGTTGTGGACAGCACAGCGCCTAGCATGTGGGGGAGCAGGCGCTGGGAGCGTGGGGCAGGCGGGCGGGCGCGGGAGCCGGAGGGAACAAAGGGGCAGCCGTGTTCCCCGGGTGCCTGCAGCAGCCAGGCAGGAATGTGGGGCTGGCCCCAGGCCCCACAGGACACGGGGGGTGGGCGGCCCTCTCCTCCTGCGCTCCCTCCCTCCAGCCTGGGAAACGGCCCAGGCCCCTGTTCCCAGGCCACCAGGGAGGGGAGGGATGCGGGAGCAGCAGGGCTGGTGCCTTTGGGAGGAGCCCAGCCCTGCAGCCTCCCCTGCCCTGCCCTGGCGCTGGCCCCGGCCCCGGCGCACTGCGCCAGGCCCTGCCATGGCCCCGGCAGGGCCCAGCAGCTCACGCCCACAGGGCTCCCCACACAACGACCCTGGCCACGGTACTTGTTGCCGGGGCATGTGCTGACCCCCGCGGGCAGCCGGGACCAGCCAGCCCCATGTGGGTCGCGCCCCGCAGAGCCCAGCGCCCCAGGCAGGCGCTCCCTGGCTCCATGAGGCAGGCGTATCACCTGCGGGGCCCAGCCGCCTCCTACAGCCACTGCCTGGCACCATCGCTGGCCCCGTAACCTCCTGCCCTGCAGGCCGAGGGCGCCTGCCCGGCCGCGCCCCGTCTGCCATCATCCCTGGGAGGAGCAGCCCAGCTGATACCTGCCCAGAGGAGTGGGGCAAGGGGGCTCGTGCCGAGGCCCGGAGCTGGCACGTAGTGGTGCAGGTGTCCGGGCTGCCCACACGCCCAGGAGCAGGCCCTGCCTGGGGCTGCTGGGCCCAGGGCTGCGCGGCACAGGAGCAGGGAGCTTGCGGCGCCCCGGCTGGGCCGGGCCAGTACCTGGGTGGCTGTCTCTGCTTGGCCCCAGGTCCAGGGTGCCACCTGCCCGGGCAGCAGGGGTCCGGCCCTCCGCCCCGCTCGGCGCTGGGCTGGGCTGTTTGTTCCTGGAGCAGGTTCCCTCCCCCGTCTCCTCCTCCCGGAGCTGAGCCGGGAAGGGAGGGACCTGCTGGCTGCTCAGGTGAGGCAGGCACCAGGTGCCGCCGGGAGGGGAGGCTGGGGAAGCTGGGAGTCGTGCCCTGCCTTGCCCCGGCCCACGGGTCTGCTGCGACGGAGACGGCCCCCGTCCCTTCACTGCACCAGCCCAGCCCCTCATCCAGAGCTCCCTGCCCCCCCACCCCAGCTCACCTGCGCAGGCGAGGAAACAGCCTGGGTGTGACCTCTGCCCCTGGTCCCATCACAGGCCTGGCCCCCTGCGGCCGGGCGGCTGGAAGAGGACCCAGGGCAGGGCTACTCCCTTTGCCAGACCCCGTCACTGCCCTGAGCAGCAGCAGCCCAGGGAGACCCCCAGCCCGAGCGCCACGGCCCAGACAGGCCCTGGGGCTGCTGCAGTGCTGCCTGAGCGCTGCACTGGGCATCGCTTGCTGCCACGGTCCAGGACAGGCAGGAGGGGAAGAGGAGACAGGTCCATGGGGTGGGTAGGGGACCCCGCTCCCTCAGCCCAGGGCCCAAGCCGAGGTGGAGGCAAAGCACTGCCCCACAGGGAGACATCAGCACCATGGAGGAGATGGCGCAGAGGCGGTGCCCACACCCCCTGCCACAGCAGCCCGGGGTGGCAGCAGCAGCTCCAGGCCCAGCCCCAGCAGCCAGAGCTGCCCCCGCCCCCGCCCAGGCGAGGCAGAGGCCTGAGCTCCCTCTGCCAGTGCAAAGACAACGCAGATGTGGTAGCTGGGTTGTGAAGCACCATTTTACTGGAGGGGATGGGCCAGGCCGGGGGCTCGTAACAAACGGTCACGTCAGTGAAGAAAAGACAGTTTGTCCCAGCGCCGCAGCTGGGCATTAGTAGGAGGAGCCGGGGGCTGCCTGGCCGCAGCCTGACACCCCTGGCGTGGGCACGCAGCACGGGAGCCACGCCTGCGGTGGACCAGGGCACGGGCAGCCTGCGCGTGGCAGAGTGGTTTCGGGCTGCGGAGCCGCAGGAGGCCCCACGGCAGGGTGGGTGGCAGCCCCAAGGCTGGGCTGTGGTGTGGCTGCCCCAGAGGGAGAACACACAGCTGCTGTGCTGTGCGACCAGAGCCCCGCAGACCAGGGCAGGAACGTGCTGGTTGTGCTACAGGAACCGCTGGCTCCCGCTGAGCCCAGAGGCCAACGAAGCCCGGCCAGACGAGAGGCTTCAAAGTGCTCTGGGTCCTCCCGGGCCTGCGGTCAGGGCTGAGGTCAGCTCCGCAGCATCTGCCCCTTGACACCACTGCTCTGGCCAGGCGGGTGCCAGCACCCCCAGGCAGGTGGCATGGGCGCAGGCAGCCGCCCAGAGCGACAGGAGCAGAAGGGCCAATTAAGGCAGACGACACAGCCAGTGGGGCCGGGTCCAAGCGGTCGTGCCCCAGGCGCAGGTGTGTGGAGGAGCTGCCCCTGCCCCTGCCCCAGGCTCTCAGGGGCTAGGACAAGGACAGGCCTGACACTCAGATCCCCTCCCTGCTCACACAGAGAAGGCTGGGACCACCGCTCTCCCCAGCAGCATCGAGGGCACGGGCAAGACCCGCTAGGGGACAGGATCCCAGCAGGGTCTGGCAAGTGCTAGGAGTGCTGCGTCCTGCAAGAGGCCAGAGAAGGGCCTGCTGCAGGAACCAGGCAGAAGCAAGCCCAGCCCATCACCGCATCTCTGGTCTCCTTCAGCCTGGCTCCTGCTTCTCTCCAGCCCCCGCCCCCCTGTCTCGGCCCCTGCCCCACAGCTGGGGGCGGCGCTTACTGCGCAGGCCGTGACTGGGAAAACACTAGAGAACAGTGGGTTGGGCCTGCCCGGGCCCAGGTCCAAGGGACCCCAGTGAAACCCTGCAGGACCAGAGGGAAGGCACAGCCCCCAGGGGCTGCTGGGCTCTGAGTCAGCCAGGAGCACCTGGTCCACGGCTCTCACCAGCATTGCCTGCCCCTGCCTCTGCCAGTATCAGCACAGGGAGGGGCTGAGCACTGCTGCAGGATCAGCCAGGCGAGGGCGGAGGCAGCCCCACAGCACAGGGATCCGCAATGCAGTGCCCCAAACATGCTCCGGCAGCTGCTCCCTACCAGAGGGGGCTGCACCTACCTACACCAGGCTGCTGGAGCCCAACCAGCTCCGTGTAGACACCTGCCCAGGGGTTCGTACCTGGGCACCCCGAGTACAGCGCACCAACATGAGCACTGCAGCATGCACGAGTGCTGCGGCCTGGCAGGAACCCTGGGCCTGCCAAGAACAGCTGGGCCTGATGTATCTGGGGGGGTGGGGGTGGTTGCAGGGGTCCAGGAAAGAGCTGAGGGTGGGGACAACAAGGACGGAGGGTCCAGGCAGGGCGGTAGTGGTCAAAGGGCCCATGAAAGGGGAACACTGGGAAAATTAACACAGCAGGGGCCTGCAACAAGGGGCCAAGAGGTGACTTCTACAGTCACCTGGGACCCCCCCAAAATTCCTCAAATACTCAGGGCCGGGGCATTTGGCAAAGTAAGAGCACAATCAAAAGTCGGAGACAGGGAAGGATGGCCCGGCCCCAGTGTGAGCTGCCAGCTGCTCCAGGGAGGGCTGCACAGACAAGTGCTGCGGGGCCTGCTGTGCTGGGCCCTGGGGTCCACTCCCCGCCCAGCCCCTGGCCTGCTCAGTGACGTGAAGCAAGCCGCCCCCTCGCCCTGCATCAGCTAGCTGTGCTGCACAGCACGGGAATGGCTGCATTGTGGCCGGGACGGCTGGTACAGACAATGGAGTACTGAGCTGCAGCCAAGGCTGAGCCACTGACTACTGGCCCTGGTGCTGACAGGAAAGGGACAGGTCCTGTGGGGCCCAAGTCCCCGGCTACTATGCCCGCTGGACAGCAAGGCCAGGCCCTGCCTGCCCCAGGGTGACAACCCCCTGCATTTGGTACCTGGGCCAGATCAACCAGGCATGAGGTCCACGGGCTGCCCCATCCCACAGGACAACAGTCCTTTCCACCTTCTGGCATGTTGCGAACAGCACTATGCATCCCCTGCGGCGCAGCCCACCCCTCGGCAGCAGGAGGTAGAACCTGCCCTCACCCAACCTGGAGCATTGGCACCGGTAGGGTTGCACATGCGTTCCCAGACTGCCCAGGAGGGGTGGGGCACAGAGGCCCAAGGCAGACAGGCGGACACCCTGCAGCCAGTCCCTGCTAGGCACTAGATAAGCTGCCGAATCTTTAACCCACGGTGAGAAACTTAAGTAGTGACTGAGCCCCTCCCCCCCGCACCACAGCCTCAAACCTTAGGACTGTCCATATGTTCAAAAACCAGGCGCAATCAACCGTCCCCCCCAGACCCTTCTGCTGCTCCTCTGGGCTTGCCCATGAACGTGCCACAGGCACCAGTGGAATGCTGGGCCCACCGAGTACAATCCCAAGCACCCGGGGTGGGGGAGTGGTTTTTGTCCCCATGAGAAGCTGCTCCAGCACCTTCCGTGACAGCCAAGTGGTTCAAGTCTGGCCAGGGAATGTCAGGTGACTACCAGCGGACAGTTCCAGGCCTCAGCCGACTGCCAGCACAGTGCCACAGGGGCATACCCAGGTCCCAGGGTGGAAGCGCTGACACGAGGCAACGCTGCTGCTAGAGCTCAGCACTGCTGCTGACAACAAAGGGAGGACGTATGAGAAAAGCTGTGTGGGCCCCGGGACAGCAGCTCAGCCCTGCTCCCCTGGCACACAATGGTGGTCACAGGCACAGCACAAGGAGACCGACATTCGACACCCAGCTGGGATGCCCCCAGGCTGCGTTGTGCTTCCTGGGGCCGGAGGGGCAACAACTCCACTTGCTTCAGCA